CCCCGTCAAAAGTACGTCCCCCTGTCAAAAGGGCCCCCTCCCCCAATGTTCAGCAACGAAATTTTTGACTAACGTATGAAAAATCCTAGATCCGCCCCTGGTCTGAACGTGTTGGGCTAGAGACTTACTGGAAACTTTTACAGGCCTTTTAATGAGAATAGAGAATGTTTTATCTGCAACTGTTCACCCTTAGTTGCAACCGACGGTATTTGACAGCATAAAATTGCCTGTGGCTGTGATAACTGATATAAATAAAATACAGTCTGGTTATACTGACTTGAGCGTGTCATGACAAACTCTTTATTGGAAAATTGTGAAGAAATAGTCGAATATAGAGGGTCGAATATCATACTTCAACTTGTATATATAGCTACAGTATCATTGGTACATAGCGTTGTGAAGACAAGCCTTTGCTTACCTTTCGCTTCAGCAGTCTTTTTTTCCATGCTTCTCTACGCTTTCCCAGGCGAGCTTCTCTTTCCTCAGCAGTCTCCTCGAGCAAACGTTGTCGTCTTCGCTAGCTCCCTCCTTTTCGCTAGACGTTCGGCTTTCTTGTCGTTTCCTTGCCGCTCTTCATTTGGCTCCATACAGTAGTCGATATCTTTTCAATTGGTATTTGATACCGTAATTGTTTTATTAAACTTTTTATAGAACAAATTGCTTTGAAAGCTGTCAAAGTTTTTTGCAAACGTACAAAATATTGCAGTGCAAAAAGCAAAATATTTTCATGAAGTATCTGTCAGTTGAAGTCGTCATTCGTCGTACAACAACAAATTTTAAATTTGACCAATCAGTGTTCGCTATTCATGACAGTCCGCCATATTTTTGAGATCAGTGAGGATGACCACCCACCGAAACACGCACAGTGACCCACGCCCGCGATATTTGATGAACTTCAGACTTCCCTAATGCTTTCGTTTCCCCGGGTGTAAATAGCCGGGGGGAATTAGTACCCTCGCACGGCGCTTCGCGCCGCCGGCTCGGGGACAAGAAAATTTTTATAAAATTTTTATAAAAATTTTATAAATTATTTTATACATACACTGTAATATCTAAAATTAGCAATCTAATGCAAAAGTGTGTCACTATTTACAGTAATATTAGAACAACACTCAAATATGGCAATATTATTTACAGATGAAAATTGAAAAATATATAACTACTGTATGCACATTTACTGTATGTAAAAATCTATCCACAACTAGATACAAACAGGCATCATACTTCAGCAAAAATTTATTAAACAATTTGTTTAACTCAAAACATGTACATAATATATCACAGTGACACAGTACATAGACACACACAATAGGGTCAAAATAGAGGCAATAAACACAGTGTCTCGTTCGTCACTCGAAATAAGCTATAGTGTTGTCTTGCGTTGTGTTAACTTGTCTACGACGATAACGAGATCTAATGTAGCGTAGGTTCTTTCGATAGAATCAAGGACGATCTACACCATAGTTTGAATATGTATTATTTACACTAACACAAGCTCAAAAGCCAGTGCGAAAACTATATACAAAAAAGGTGATTATCAAATTATCCTGAATGTCCCAGTTATCCTAGTGCAAGTGTAATTCTATCCTAGTTCAATTAACTAACCGTGTTCGATATAAGAGATTAATAATGAACTGTTTATATTAGAATGCGTGCAAGATATCTATAATGTTCAAAGTACTGTCAATTCTCGACACACAGATATTACGCTATAATTTTGTACATTGTATTTCTGAAATTACAGTACGTCAGTACAGTACAAGAATAAAAACAACAAAGCGGAAATTTGACTATAAAATAACAAGATAACTGTAATGCATTGTAGTATACCAACCTTAAATACTGCGCTTGTTTTCACGTTGATGATACATTTGGTATAGCAAAACACAAGTCATGATGAGGATCGCAACAATACAGCAATATGCTATTATCACAGAGTATCTGACACTCTTGTCGTTCGAAAGCTTCCATATTGGTTTAGTCAGAGAGATGTTCACTCCTGGACAGTCAACAGTCAATGGAGACACGCGTGGAATTAGGCGCTCAATACCCATGATGCTTTGCGGCCTGCTGTCCAACCTCCTCTGGCCTGGATAAAGCAAGCCGAAAACTTCACTGGCTTAGAATATGGGTAACAAATAGCGAAACAAAGATAATTTCAGCCATTCTTAGAGTAGACAAAGGGACTGAAACAGGGGTAATGGCCACGATGCATTCATTTCTAAGGAGGTATCATGGAGACATGGATCCACACGAGACAGTTATTTATGGGCCTTCAACATCAAATCAAGTAAGTTTTAATTAATATCGGCACAAACTCTCAGATATAATCAGTGAAAGTAGAGGGTAAATACCCTGTAATTATCAGAATATTCCTGAGGCACATAATAGATACAATCATACAGAAGGTTGACTCAGCCAAAAGAGCGTTACCTCTGTCACGCCATGATTCTGAATGTTTTGTCATCAAAATGCTGATGCCATGGTTCTAGTCAGAGTGCTTATGAGAAGTATTCACCGCCATGGACATCTGCCCATTAATTTGAATATTTTAAGGGGATGAATGCCTATCATAAACACACTGGTTAGGACCATGGTGTCAGCACTGCAATGGTTACACCAAAATCAGAGGCAAAACCAGCAAGTTGATCTTCTGTATGCATCTATTCTGTGCCTGAGATTTGTATTACCAGGTATACTGTATAATACACAGTATCTGTATTGGATAAACACCAGAAAACTGATCTCACTGCCCCCTTATTATTTGAATTATGTTTCTTGCTGGCTGAAGTATGAAAGAAGTGAGAAACAGGTTTCTCATACTGGGGGCCCCAAGGAAAGGTTCTATGCCCTTATATGGGCATGCACTTCAAAATATAGCATCTTATTCCATAAATATGGTAGTTTCTACCCTCCTACCCTTGTAATTTGATACATTTGTTAGGGTTTGGTCTAGTATGTATGTGTGTAAAAATTTATTAAAGACACTGCTACTTTTGTTGTGGCAGACTACACATGTGGTGGTAGTGAGAAAATAATTTAACAGAGATTAAAAGATGTTAACAAACCTTGTGACATGTATTTATTTTGTAGATTGAAAGATGGTGGAAAGAGCTCCACGAACGAATGGAAAAGTTCTTCAAAACACAGTTGTGTTGGATGAAAGACCAATGCCACTATGACCCTCATAATAACACTGACAGGTAAACATTGTGAAAGTTAAGTAAATACCCATTGTTCAAATCAACTACTTGTACGTACAGTATGTTTCAAATCACCCCTGCAGTGGTACTCATTTTCATAAATATTCTAAAGCAAAAGTATTGCAATAACCTTTATTCCTATAACTTTAATTGTTTAACTAAACCCATTAAAGGCATTCTGTTGTTAGACAGAGTAAGAGTAAAATACTACGTTAGGGCACAGACAGTGCCCATGGTCTGTGCTCATCAGAAGCAATACTTTCTTTCTCTTTCAATCTGCAAAATGTGAATGTACAAAATATAAATCTGCTACAGGATTCCAGCCCATCTTGTGTCAATAATACATAGTGATATTAATTATATTTCATGGGTTAAAACATTCACCTAAGGTCATTATTCCCTTGGTGATCCATCACAAATTTTGGTATTTTGTTTTTAATATAGGATGCTTTTGGCTTTTATTATGGTGCCACTTATACAGAAAGAGTTAGATATTTTCAGGGAAAAAGTGTGGAACACACACAGAATCCGAGCCCAAAAAGACAAACTACTTCCTGATGGTGTACCGGAACATATTTATAACTTCCCTGAACAGTACAATCTTGAAGAATGTATTGTATTGTATTAATTGTATTGGTTTTCTTATCCTGCAAATGATGGGAATAATTGTTAATTGTGAAATTCATCACAAAATTATAATCGACTGTTGGTTTTATAGACCACAGCTGCTTTGCAGGGCCCTTTCGAGATGGGTGCCCAGGGCAGAATTGTCCCCCTCCTATTTTATTGGAACCTTTGAAAATTATTGTTCTGGCCATTTTACATGAAACGAATTGTGGGGAGTGTCAGGCAGGCAGGCAAGTAGCATCAACTGACGACTATATACAGTTACTATAATAAATATCTAAAACGACAATTTCCATTCATTTCTACTACAGGTTTTGCAGTTACTGAGGAACAACTTCAAGAGGCTGCAACAGAATCTGGTGTTCTTCAAGTCCCAGATGACTTTCTCACTGAAGAGTTCAGAGCAGAATGCGAGCGTCTCATTCCAGACAATGACACGATTAAGCCAGATGAATGGACAAATGCATATTTGTACTTGAAGGAGAAATGCACTCTTTCATTGTAGTTTTTCTTTTAAGCTCAGAATGTTAATATAACTGAAAGTTAATATTTCTGTAAAAGTACAAATACTGTACAGTAATTATGGTTCACAATTAATCCATTGAATTGCATTGCGCCCTGATGCACCCTACCTTATTATTTCACTCTCCTTAATGCCAGACAATTTTACTCATCAAGGGGAGAGCACTGGTGCTTAACCCATTAAGCTGTAATGCACCCAAGTGTGCCCTACTTGTATAGTAGGGCACATTTGGTCATATTGCCCATCAACCCATTAATGGCAGTGTGCCCTGATTTACCATACACATCTGTACTTCAGCATTTTGCTGTCTAATGCCAGATCAGTTTAATTGTCAAAAGGAGACCACTTGAGTCCTTTGAAATATACCAAAAATCATAGAAAACTAACATAACAAATAAAATAGTTTGAATAGTATCTGACTAATAATGTCATGAGGGAAAATTTGAAGTACCCTGTATTACAAGCTTTAATACTATATTATAAAATTTTGTATTAAAATTTGTTCATAAAAATGCACATTATTTACCAAGAGTTCTCAGTCCTCAGACTCATGTAACATAACTCTACAAAGTTGTATAACATAACATCAAATATAATAATTTTTGTAACTGTCTTTCAAAGTTTAGAGTTCTGATTGTTAAATTATTGGGCATTGGTCTTCTTTGGTCTC